CAGAGACAAAGTAACTATTCCAAGAACAAAGGTCTTTAAAAATCATTCTTTGCTCCCACTTGTGAAGAATAGGTGCAATTTTCTTCCCTATAATAATTAATCTTTGTCTATTCCCTATTTTTAAAAAATCAATGATAATGTTCTCATTTATTATATAACAAATTGTCTAACTTGCCTAATGTGAAAATAGAGCTCCACCCCTGTGCGTTTAGCCACATTCTGTTCATTCAGTCCATAGGCTCCCAGACCATTATTTATCCCTGTAACTCAAACACAATACTCATTGGTGATGCATATGGAAGAAGTTTTTTCTCTTTTTTAGGGTAGGCTTTCTCTTCCAACCTGCTCAAAGTGGGAGGGGTGGAAAACTAGTGCATTTGTCAACTAGTGTGAGTTTCTGTAAGGGTCACATAGGTTTGTCCTTCAAAATCAAGTCACAGAAGGCACAACATAGGTAAAGTTCCAAAGGGAGGGCAACAGCAGAAAGTGAGTGTGAGGACCATAGTTTCTCTAGGAGTCAGGATTTGAGAAAGGGATCCACAACAAGGATTAATTCTAGTTTTTTGCTGAAAGTCAAGTTTATTTTGCTTTGCCATTTTCCTTGTATGAATATAGGACAGCCAACTGACCTTTTCAATTTATTAGTTTAATCATTGTAATCTCGCAGCTTCTTTCCCTTTAAATTTTGAAATAATAAAACCCAATATTAAACATTTTCATTTCATCTTTTATTGAAAGTACTAACCCCTCAGCACCACTGCTCTCTTGAATTAAGTGAAAATGAAATGCATATCACATTTTATAAGTCAAAAGAAGTTTTGACACACTATTGGCAATTGTCCTTTTAGAGCAAAGCCACAAATCTGTCAGCTGATTGTCATACAGTGTGGAGATAATCATTAGAAACCCAGTGAATGGCCCGTTCTGTGATGAAAACTCAGAAAGACCTGATGCTTAGTGTTCTTCACCTTTCTTCAGTTCGTGTGCTAGCTTTGAGCTAGATCTGCATCCCAGTGAGCACCACGCAGAACTGGGATGCAGCATCACTGTGCTGGAGCTGTCTGCTCCCTCTCTTCTGAAGAAAAAATCTTTGATCTTTGCTGCTGCTATTGACTTATGCCTACCATAGATGTGGATACTGTCGTTTTATATACTGAAAAATGTGGATTTTAAAGCTAGCTTGGCAACAGCAAGGTGTTCAGTGAGTTAAGACACTTGCCTTTAAGCCTGATGACCTGAGTTCAATCCCCAAGATCCACATGATGGGAGGATAAAACCAAACTCCTAGGAGTTGTTTTCTGGTCTCTGTACACATGCTGTGGTGTGTGTGTGTGTGTGTGTGTGTGTGTGTGTGTGTGTTTATTCAATCAACAAATAAAAAGAAAAATGAAAAATAGCTTGAGTTTAAGATTGTCTAAATTAAAGTTTTAAACTAAATTAAGGTTAAAATTATATATTAATTATTAATTATATATTAATTTCATTCTGATGTATTAAGCTTTGACCTCATCCAGGAAATGTATTTCTGACTGCCCTTGCCTTAAGAGTGAGGAAGTTGCTTGTGTTTATTTGTAACTGAACCTGCTCACTCTGAGGTGTTTACTAAAAGAGGCTGTTTTCTACAGGTTAAATGAAGTCTGAGTTTTCCTTGACTGAGGATTCTATATATCAGAGGTGTCCTAAGGCTACCGAGGAAAAGACATAGCAAGAGACTTTGTCCTGGCTTTCCCTTTCTTTTGTCACCAGGTGCAAAGACATCTAGAATTAGGCAGAGAAGAGCTAAGAAACAACTCTTGAAAGCCTACTATGTGACTATAACTGATACATGTATTAGATGATATTAACTATGACTGACACATGTGCTATTTAACATTAACTATGGCAGATTAATGTGTTGGGTAACATTATTTATGTCTTATGCTATTAATTTTCTAAGAATCCCATGAGATGGTTATCATTTTTCTTATTATGTTGAGGAAACCATCGAGGCTCAGATATGTTAGATAAGTAGCCTAACCTCACAGAGCCTGGCATGGTAGAGCAGGAATGAAATACAGATCCTTCAGACTCTGGGGTGAACAGTTCTTTGTAGATTTAAGGGGCTGAGGACCTGAGTGCCACATTAGATAAAAGGACAAGTCATTGGATGAAATTCCATTCTCTCAGTTTAGTGGTGCTCAGACTGTGAGAATGGAAGGAGACTTCTGAGTCACTTGGGCATCTGTCGAACCCCTGCATCCTTCCCTTCTGTGGGCCCTCCACTCTGAGTAGGTGCTGATGTTCCTAATGGGTATCGGGCATCTCATGAACTCAAAGAGGCCCTATTCGTTTCTTTTTAGGGCCAGATATTCTTATGTCCTTTGGAGTCTTCCACATCCATTACTTCAAACAGATTACTGCCATACTACCTTAATATGATGACATCATCAGCCCTCTGATCAATTTGAAATATGAGGGAGACTAATCCTATGTGATAATGACTTTAAAATGGTGCACCCAATCTTCAGAGATCTTCTGAGCATTTACTTTGAAAAAATGAATTTTTTTTGTGTCCTGTACTGTCTGTTTAGCCTTAAGAAACCCATCATTTTAATAATTCAGGGTACCATGTTGCTGCTAGGTGCAGAGAAATGTAAAGAAGGATAGTTCTTTGGTCTCTGTAAGGCTCAGGCAATTTTGTGATAGAGAGGTAGAAAGAATATAAAATACAAGGAAAGGGAGAAAAGCTGGAACTTGCCATCCCCATCCCCTAGACAGGCCATAGCCCTTGGAATCATGAAATTACAGCTGCTGCAGTGTTGGAGCCCATGTAGGCTTCCTAGTGGCTGTACCCAGCAGGACTGCATACGAGGTTGATTGGACCATGGGCCTGGGTACCAGGTGTTTGTAAGGGTCTACACTTGGCTGTAACTAGCAAGGGGGAGGTCCTGGGGTGGGCAGGATGAAGCTTAATGTCTCAGGAGCATGTGCTGCCCAGGCTGTGGCTTGTGGGGAGCAGAGGGTGCGTGGTAGCACGGTGGCCTCAGCACCACTCAATCTGC